AAAAAAAAAAAAAAAAAAAAAAAAAAAAAAAAGAAATGGAGGATAAAGTTCCATGTGACTTCAGAATAACTCATTGTAGCATTTCTCTGTAAATGGTATTACCTGCTCTGCTATCCTCAGTTGTACCAAAAGTGAAGTATCTGTAATGTAAGGAGCCAGAATGGCTCTTTCAGAGGCCAGGCAAAGTTCTAAGGAGTGGTTGTATTTTATCTTCTGCCTTCAGGATCATTTCTTTGGATAATAGAAGTTTTGCTTGATATTACCAGTGGAACACTTCAGTAGAACAGTTATATGTCTTCTTTTCACTAAGTAGTTAGTTGAATTAAATAACTGAATGAAAGTTAATGTTCCAGAGGAGGAACTACAGATGGGAATAGAAATGCTTTTACATTTTTGTTTGTTGGAGTAAATGTCAGAATTTGAAGAACACCAGACTGCTCTTCTTATGATTGTTTTATAGTTCTGTTTATTGGTTTATATTAATATGGGTGGTATGTCCCTTACCTCCAAATTTTATGGACATTCCTGTAAAATGTTTTTATTTGAAAATGTATTTTAGTATTGAAGTATTATTTTGTACCTCTCCTCAATATCTAGGAATTGTAAATTACTATGCTGTGAAAATCTTGACAATTTGTATATTGGGGGTTTTTTGTTTCTTTGTTTTTGGTACCAGGGATGGAACTCAGGACCTTGCGCTTGCAAGGCATGTGCAGTGCCACTGAGCTAAATCCCCCAGCCCTTTTCATTTGTTTGGTTTTTTTTAAAGGACAAGATTTTAGAACTTCTGTCAGCATCATTAGTAAAGTGTCTAGCCTGATAAATCTTCTCAAAGGTTTACTACTCGTGTTATATACAGCAAGATATGTAAAAATTATTCACAGCATTAGGGTTTCTATCGAAAGTTAAATTATAAGTGATAAAGGAGTAGTTTTTATTCATATAAAACCCAATTTATATGTGAAAGTGAATTCATTACAATAAAGCATAAGAAACAATTTTAATCTCAAATTGCAATTTAAAAATAGATATTCATAAGGCACTAATTTTAAAATTTAATTGTTGATACATTAATCTTTACATATCTGAGGATATGTTGGATAGAAAACTTTATTTCTCTAGGGGCCGGGGATTTAGCTCAGTGGTTCCGGCGCCTGTCTAACAAGCACAAGGGCCTGAGTTCAATCCCTGGTACCAAAAGAAAAAAGAAAAAGAAAACTTCATTTCTCTTAGTGTTTTATTTCTGTTGATTTAAAGCTTGGAGTGTATTTCAATTGAGTGTTCAAGAAGTTTGAAATCTGTGTCTAAGTTATCAATTATATTGTTACCTTATTTAATATAGTTTATATTGTATTTTTCTACCTGGATTTGTTTTTTCAAAAAAGTTAGTGGAATACAGCTGTTATTATCAGGCCAACTATGAATTGATGAAGTTAGTTTAGCCCATAGTCTAAATTTTAGGGAGCTGTGATATGTGGATTATATTATTAAAACCTTTATAAATTAAATTACTTTGCTTTTTAGTTTTTTCATATTACAACATTTAGAAAATGATAAAATGAGATTTATAATCTCATATAGAGGGTGCTCATCAGAGTAATAAAAACAATGTGGGGCCAGGGATTTAGCTCAGTGGTTCTGCCACCTGCCTCGCAAGCGCAAGGACCCAAGTTTGATCCCCGGTACCAAAAAAAGAAAGAAAAATAATGTGATAGGGCACTTTGCATTTTAGAGTGGAGTGTCTCATATTTAACAAGAACTGGTAATTAATTTGTTGTTGTTTCTTCCCTACTGAAGATTGGACCGAGGGCACTAGACATGTTAGGCAAGCACGCTACCTTTGATCTACATCCACAGACCAGGAATTAATATTTGAGAAGAAGTAACAAGAGAATTAACTCTTAGAGAAATATATACTAGGTATACTAGGCCTGTTATACCAAAATGTAAATGAGGACATCCAGTTTGATTTAAATATTTTCTTATGCAGATACTTTAACCTTCCTTAGCCTTTACCTTCCAAATCCCTCCTACAATATTGTTGGTATTCTTCTCAGAGGCTTTTTTTTTTTTTTTTAATTTTAAACATCAGATTTATTTGGAGAAAACAAAACAAAAATCCCACAACCCAAAGGATGTGATTTTACATCTCAAGATACCTCCCAGGTAGTAAGTACGTATTGCAAATCATTTTCATATAAGATATTTTTGTACAAATTTTACATGGATTCAGGAGTAGGACATAAACCGGTCTGCTTCTGTTTAGTGGGGCAAAGAAGGGGAGTGGGGCAAAATAGCTTTTTTGGATGCAACTCTTTGGAAGGAGAGCAGACATGAAGAGGGCAAACTCTACCTTTTCATTATCTACAACCAATGGTTTAAAAAGCAAACCCGTTCAACTCAGGGTATGTCTAAAAGCCTACTTCCTGGCTACTGCCAACCCCCAATTGAGGGTAATTCTCTGGATATAGCTTCAGTCCACTGGATGAGTGGCTCATTTCACCCACTACTGCAGCTCACACACACCCACCCCCTGCAGGGCTGGCTGGAGAGGGTCTAACCTAGGACCATGGGAGAAGAGCTTGTAAATAGAGACCAAGCTACCCCCATCTACCAAGGGGACAAATCCTGTCTCCCAAGCTGACCCCAAAGCAAAGGTTCACATATAAGTAAGCTGTTGTGTCACAAGAGAAACCAGAACCTTGTTAAATAGATCTTTCATCATTTTTTCTCTCAAGGGAAGCTAAAAACCATACTCCCTCCCTCAAGCAAAAAACCACAATGGTCTAGGCCAAATTATAAACCCAAGCATTTGTGTGGGATTTCACTGAAGGCTTGTAAAGGAAAAAAAAAACCAACAGAAGAACCCATACCCCACAATCAAGGTTATAAGAAAAGCTTCCAAGCTGGGCGTGGTGGCGCATGCCTGTAATCCCAGCACTGGGGAGGCTGAGGCAGGAGGATCGCTGTGAGTTCAGACCAGCCTGGGCTACAAAGTGAGTTCCAGGTCAGTCTCAACTACATAGTGAGACCCTGTCTCAAACAAACAAACAAACAAACAAAAAAAGAAAAGCTTCCAATGTAACTGCCCCTAATCCATACTTAATCATCACCAAAGATCAATCTAGAGTTTTCTGATCTAGAAAAGGGACCAGAGTAGCAGGAGCAGGCATGGATGGAGGGAAGGAATGAGAATCAGGACATCAAAGAGCTGATTTGTTTGAGAAAAACATTGATTCATCATGTTACAGCATCCAGTGGCTGACATATAAAATGCCTAACAGGTCATGTCTGTGACTTATCTAGAAACTAGTCTTTGGGAGGTGAGAGTAGCGTGAGGAACATGAGAGATCAGAGGCTTATTTTTGATGACCTGAAGATCGTGCTGTTCCTTTGAGGCCTGAACATTCAGTCTGTCAGTGATAGGGCACAATTTCAGCCTACTGCACAACTACATTAGGTTTCAACAAATAATATGGCCAAGGAGATTGTATTCTCTTAAATCATTTGCATTTTGTTTTTTGTTTCGGTTGCTTGAAAAATATACTATATAGAATTTTTAAAAATCCAATAAATTTATTAGTAGAAGTTAAAATAATTATTCTGCTTATCATGCTCTGAGTGCTGGTTAAATGCTGTCTCATGTCATCTGCATTTCAGTCCTAGGCTGAGAAATGAGAAAAGTGGAGCATTATACAGTTACATAATCTGTGCAGAGGTTCATAAAAAAATGGAAGAGCTGAGATTTGAATCCAGCCACTCTAACTGTAGAATGTCTTTTTTGTCTCTCTTTTCTTGTTTATATCCTTTTAACTTTAATTTCCCTTCTTTTGACTAAACATATTCTGCCTTATACCCTTAGAGGAAGCTTTAAGAGAATAATAAATAAAAGATGACTATGGGCAAGTGCTTTGCAATTCGAGACTTTTCTGTACCTGTCAGGATCATTTATTTTAAGGAAATCATTTGATTGCTTTATAAGACTTTGGACATTGTCAGAGTCCTTAAAGGAGAACAGATTGGCACCTTCACTGTTTCCTGGCCAGTGGTAACGTTAAGCTCTTACATAACTGCCCTTGTGCCGTGCCATAACGAAGAGATAGGCTGCTTTATTGGGTAGTTGAATTTTTTTCTTCTCATGTGCATCAGAAATTAGAGTTATAGAATGGCTTAGTTCTGGATTTTTTGCTGTCTTGGTTTCATCCTTCAGCTTTTTTTTTTTTAAACAGTAGCAAAGTTTTATTAAAGGTAAGAAAAGAAACAACCTCTGTAGAATGAGTTTGGGCCAAGTGAAAGTAGAAGAAAAAGTACACTCCACAGCATGAGGGCAGGCTGCCATGGAAGAGAGAACACAGTGCCAGTGTGTCCTTCAGCTTTAAACCTTCTTTTCCATTTGCAGGGTTTTGTTTTGTTTCGTTTTGGGATTTGTTTGTTTTTGAGACAGGGTCTTGCTATGTAGTTCAGGCTGGTCTTGAACTCACTGTGTAGCCAAGACTGGCCCTGAACTCATGATGATCCTCCAGCCTCAGTCTCCCAAGTGCTGGGATTACAAGTGTGTACCACCACACTCAGCATCCATTTGTCGGTCTTACACAGTCTTTCATACAAGGTTTTATGAATGAGCCAGATGTTCCCTGGCTCTTTAAAAAGTTAGCTTTACTGAAAATAATTGACATAGAATAAATTACAAATATTTAAATTATACAGTTTAATTTTTACATATTATACACCCAAGAAACCATCACTGCAGTGATGAAAATGAACATACCTATCATTACCCTAAAGATCCCTCATGCTCCTTTGTAATTTCTCCTCCTCTCTTTGCTGAGCACTCACTTTCCTATTGCTGAAACAAAATACCCAAGACTTGCAACCTAAAGGAGAAGGAACTTACCTTGGCTCAGTTTCCAATGGATTCAGTCCATCACCTGGCTCCAAGGCAGAAATGGCACAGCAGAAGAGCCTGGCGGAGCACCACTGCTCATCCCTTGGCAGCCAGGAAGCAGAGAAGGGAAGGAGCCAAGAACAAGAATACTGTACACCCTTCCAGGTCATGTCCTCCCTTGGCCACCTTCTCCAAGCAGGACCCACCTCTGCACAGCACAGTCAGCTTTGAACTCATCAGTGGACTAATCTGCTGATGAAGATAGGCTGTTCATTATCCAGTCATCTTTCTAAAGCTCCCTTTCTGAACATGAGACTTGGGGGACATTCATTTTCCAGTACTGCTGAAATAGAACAGCACAAATGGGAATTACAACAGAAACTCATTCTCTTCCAGTTCTGAGGCAGTCAGCTGGCATCACTGAGGGAGAATTTGTTCATGCCCTTTGAGCTTCTGGTGGTTTCTCCTAGCCTATTCTGATGGTCCTTGTCTTACTGACTGTCACTCCATTCCTTCTCATCTCATCCTTTTCTTTTTACTTGTTCTTTTTCTCCCCCCTTCTTTCTCTTCTTCTCCCCTCACCCCTTTGTTTCTTTCTTTCCTTCCTGTTTGGTAGTACTGTACTGCTGTAATGGAAATTAAACCCAGGGCCTTTGCACTGACTACATCTTCAGCCCTTTTATTCTCAGAAAGGGTCCTGTTGACTTGTCTAAGCTAGGCTCAAACTTGCAATCCTTTTACTTCAGACTGCTAGCGTGCTGGGATTATAAGCTTGTGACGCCATTCCCAGTTCTTATATCTTTCCTATGTGTCTGTATCCAGATTTCCCTTCTTTTCTAAGGACACCAGTTATTGGATTTATTGGGGCATCCCGGTGCAGTATGACTTTAGCTTAACTTGATTAAATCTATAATTAAGGTCCCACCCATAGATTCTAAGGATTAAGACTTCAGCATTTCTTTTAGGGGACACAAATTTCCTCTAAACACCCCATTCTCAGTAAACCATGAAGCTCACTATGTAGTTGAGACTGACCTGGAACTCACTATGTAGCCCAAGCTGGTCTTGAATTCACAGTGATCCTCCTGCCTCAGCCTCCCGAGTGCTGGGATTACAGACATGTGCCACCATGCCAGGCTCGCTAAGATATTTTTTTCACCTTGTATTATTTTGAATTTTCTTGAATTTTACATAAATGAGATCATGTAGTTTGTTGTCTTTTTTGATTGGTTTCTGTTACCTAATACAATTTTGAGATTTGTCTTTGTTGGTTCACATTAGTTTGTTTTTGTTGCTGGTAGTATTACATTGTATTGATGTGTACTACAATTTATACATTTACCTATTGATGGACATTGGAGTTTTTTCCCCCATACTTGGCTATGACAGATAACTCTTAAAAACATTTATGTATAAGGGTTTGTATGGTCATATATTGTTGTATCTCTTGGGTAAATAATTACCTAAGACTAAAATAGCTGAATATATAGGGTAGATTTATGTATAACTTTTAAAGAATGATCCATGCCTGCCTTGGAAAGCACAAGATCCTGAGTTTGATCCCAGATACTGGAAAAAAATAAATTAATAAAACAAAGGAATATGCGAGATTGCCTTTAAAAGTGAGTGTATCATTGTATGGTCCCACAAGTAGTTGCTAGATAAGCTTGCTAACACTTGGTATGGCTAACTATACAGTGATATCTCATTCTGGTTTTAATGTATGTTTCTGTAATAACTAATAATGCTGGGCATCTTTCATGTTTTTATTTGCTTTCCATATATCATCTTTGGTGAAAGCATTGTACTCCCCTATGCTCATAGCTAACCAGTTTTTTATTAATTTTTTGTTTTGTTTTGTTTTTTGGGTACTGGAGATTGAACTTGGTTCCTTGTGCTTGCAAGGCAGGCCACCGAACCGCTGAGCTAAATCTCCAGCCCCAGTTTTTTATTATTAAGCTTGTGAGAGTTCCTTAGATATTTAGATACAGGATACAGCAGATATGTATATTTTCCAAGGCTATGACTTCTCTTAATTTTCTTCTATCTATTGAAAAGCAGAAATTAAAAAAAAATTGATAAGTTTAATTCATCTATTTCTTCTTTCATGGATTATGCTTTTATTATTGTACATCATTGCCTAACATAGGTCATAAAAGTGTTCTCTGTTTTGAAGTTATATGTTTTTAGGTTAGTGAGAGCAAACCTTTTAGAACTTTCAGTGATACCAATAGCCTGCTGTGGCACATGAGCCATAGGTTCGCCACCAGTGTTTTAGGTTTTATATTGTAATCTGTGATCCATTTTGAGTGCCCCCGCTCCATGATTAAACCCAGGCAGGACCTTGAACATGCCAATGTGTTCTACTATCAGCTATATCCCCAGCCCTTTCAGTTGCTTTTGCTGGCCTTGAACTTATAATTCTCTTGCCTCAGCCTTCCAAGTATCTGAAGTTACAGGTGTGCACCATGTCTCCTAGCTTGAGTTAATTTTGTTTGGCACCAGGGATCAAACTCAGGACCTTGCACTTGCGATTGAGTTAATTTTTATATCTGGTGCAAAATGTTTTTGCATGTACTTTACTTTTTCTTTTTCTTTTCTTTTTTTTTTTTTTTTTTTTTTTTTTTTTTTTTTTTGGCAGTGTTGGGGATTGAACCCAGAGTCACACATTCCTTAAATTAATTTTTAAAAAGGATTATATAATTATTTATAGACTAATTTACATAATTTATTTCACAATGTTTGGAAGAGTAGTTAGTAACTTGACATTTACAAAAATGCTGTATTTTCTCTGTAGTTATATTTTAGGTATATAATTTGGCTTGGTACATGAGTATTGTAAATTTGGGTGCTATGTTTAGAGAAATGAAAGCTATTTTCATGTATTTTATCATAGCTATCATTGTCCTTTATCTTTAGGTTACAGTTGTCTTTTGTTTGTAAAATTAATTTTAAATTTCAACTTTGACACAGTGACTGTACAGCTTATTAGAATTAACTACGTCATTATATCATAATAGAGTTCTTAAAAAAAATCTTAGATGCAACTTATGACATTTTATGCCAGGAAAATAAAAATACGTCTTTGGCAAGTGCCCTTTAAAATTACTATATTTATGATGTCCTTGGGAGATTATTTTCATTTTGTGGAAAACTATGTATATGCATTTAAAAGTCACATTACTACAACAATGAATGTACTCAGTGCCACTGAAGTGTACACTTAAAACTGGTTGAAATGTTAAATTTTAACACACACACACACACACACACACACACACACACACACGGTAGTCATTTTAAAAGCACCTAGACACGTTGTAAAGTACTTATTTCTCTGTGCCAGTAACTTTCATATGCTCTCCTCCATTCTTGTGATCTTGACTATAAAAGGTAGAGGAAGAAGGGGTCTGCCACACTGCCAGTTTGTGCTCCTGTTTGGCTCTCCCAGCAAGGCTTAACTCTAGAAAACATGCAGTGCTTGGCGTATGCCTGAATTTTCAAATGGATGATGGAATGATAAAGAGGAAAATAGAAATGGTATTTGGAAATCTGCTCTCAGAAGTTGTATGAAGTCTTATCCAGTGCAGTGGTAGAGTGGTTGTCTTCCATGCAGAAGCTATTGGGTTCAACCCCGAGTACCACAGAAAGAAAGGGGGAAAAACCCTCCATTATTCATTCTATCAGTTCATATAGACTCTGGAAAAATAAACGGTAAAGATAGCTTGTTGCCAAAATATGTCAGGCTAACCTTATGTCCCCATTAGGCTTGGAAATTGGTACAGCTAGTCTTGTTTTACAGTCTGATGGTATTTTAAATGTGACTGCAATCTTTTATGTTTGAAATAATTTTCTAATAACTTTTTTTGTTTACTTGTAGTCGGCAGAACCAGTTGAAAGACCAACAGCAACAGCAAGTGGTGTCATTATGCCCGGATGATACAGAGTGCCTGACAGTGCCGAGATACAAGCGAGACCTGGTTCAGAAACTCAAAATCTTGCGCCAAGAACTTTCCCAGCAACAGCCTCAGGCCGGCCACTGCCGCATTGAGGTTTCCAGGGAAGAGATTTTTGAGGTAAACTTCCAAGTCAGAGGAAAATTAAATTTAGTCTTTTATTCTCTTTTCCGAGAATATTTTTTCAAGCCTTATTTCTTTAGGTGGGAGCTTCTCATTAATTTCTATTTTGATTGTGGGGAATAAGGCAATGATATCGGAAAGATTTAATATGTACAATAATCACTTAAATGGGATGAAGAGTGCTAAATGTCCTGATTGCTTTGGTGTGGCCTCTGCACTACAAATACTTGGTAGTGAAGGCCTAACTTTCTAACTCTTCTGAAAGGTATAAGACTTTTTTATTTTTTTCAAAAGGAGAGGTATAACTTAGCTCATGAGGTAAGGGAGTCTTATATAGAAAAATTATTTTGTGTGATTATTATTGGACTGCTTCCTTCATTTGTTGAAAATCTTTTTTCCTGGCATATATTTTTATCTTTGGATGAAAGATAAAAACCTAATATCAGCTTCAAAGTTCTTGCATAATAAATGACAGATCAAAGGTGGGGCTTTCCTACTCATTGGAGGATTCCTGGACAAGAGATGTCTGGAGATCTGGTAATCCTTTTCCTAAAGGACAAACTTTTTGCAAAGTAGTTCTGACATTGTGGCTAATCATTCATTTGATAAAGGCGGCAGTGGCCAAGGAGATGTTAGGGGCCTGTGCTGGGAGCTAATCGGAGACAGCAGTGGGGATGGGGTGACAGTGGTGGCTGGATTGGCGGGGGGAGAGCTCAAAGTAAACAAGCAGTGGGGTGAAGCTACCTTGGGCTCCAGTAGGAGCACCCACTGCACCATGGCCAAGGTACCTAAAGAACTTCAGCAGCCAGGGCCCAGCTGAGTGTCTGGCTCACAAACTGGTGCCAGGAATCTGTGCCTCGGGCACTTTCACTTGCTCAATCTGTATCTTTCTGTACCAATGCTGCCACCCAAGATATCTCTGCTTACCCCTTAGCCACTCAAAAAAACAATACTAGGGGGCCTAGAGTTTAGCTCAGTGATGCCACCGCCTGCCTCACAAGCGCAAGGACCTGAGATTGATCCCTGGTACCAAAAGAAAAAAAAAAGAAACAGCACTAGGAATTTTCAGTGCTGCCTTGGACATGAGATGAACTATAGATGGAGCCCAGAGGACTAGTGCTTGGCTGATTTCAATGGGGTGGTGGGTTCCTTTGGTGGCCCTACTAAAATATAAATAAATGAATACATACATACATATGTAAATAAAATGAATGAATGAGGGCTGGAAGTTAGTGCCAGTGGGCAGTGGGAATGTGTTTGTCACTAGGGTTGGCCTACTACTAGGAGCCCAGTCTGTGAAAAAAAAATTCAACCTAATATTTTAAAATTATAAAAAATCACATTAAAGATTACTTATATTTTTTGGAACTTTGTTTTTCTTACATTTACATTTTACTGTGACATCAGTAAAATTAGGTCAACCAACTTTTAGGAATTTGCTACTTATACCAAATTCTATTTTTAATAGGGTAGAATTTTTATAAGTTTCATAAACTTTAAAGTATCTGGAATTTACTGATTTGTTGAATACATTTTATTTTATATGAACTATATTTTAGGGCTGGGATGGGAAGGACATTTTAAACAATATGTTAAAACAGGCTATAATGATAATACTCTTTATTTACATTTTTTTCCAGGAGTCGTATCGACAGGTCATGAAAATGAGACCAAAAGATCTCTGGAAGCGATTAATGATAAAATTTCGTGGAGAAGAAGGCCTTGATTATGGAGGGGTTGCTAGGTAAAGACTTGACAGTTAATGACATAAGTCTTTATACTTATAAGACTCTTTCTATAATGTGAGTTTCTCATGGGTATTTATTTTCTAGTATAATAATCCCTAATATTTGCAGTGTACAGAAAATTCTAGTAGATATATTCATGATGAGGTTAAGGTAGTCCTGCTACCAGAAAAGTTATTTAATACTCTCTAATGGATTATATAACCCAGGAAGACTCTTGAAATCTAGCTATAACCAACTCTCCATGGGCTGTTAATAGGACTTTCAGGCCCTTCCTTTTTACCATCTCCGTACTTCAGCACATGTTTTTTTCTCTGCTTTGCATAGTCAGGAACAACCTTGAGACTTTTAATGAACTGTTTGCATTTGCCCTGTTTTTCTTTACCTTGTTAAAAATGTATTATCAGGCTATTTAATCCATAAATTAACAGCTGCCCTTCACTAGCTCAGTTGATAGAGCATGAGACTCTTAATCCATAACATCAAAACATTTAAACAATTTTCGCTATCTGAGAAATGTCAAGAATTGAGATTAGAGCTATACCTCTAAATTTTAGAGTAGCTCATTTCATTTTCATGAAGATTATTAACAGGTTGTCTCTTCTATTTTGAAAAATATAAAGAATTGGTGGTGGTAATACTGTTTATTGTAAAGTTTATGAAACATTAATGTACATTTGAAATCAAGAAGTAATTTGGAACATACCCAGACAGTGCAGCCTGACCTTTGCGTTCATACCTGTGCCAAATGCCTTGGAATCTCTGACATATTGTGGTATGTTTCAAGTTTTTTTTCAGTGAAGATGATGAAATAGATAATGAAATTTTCTTATTAAACCAATACCAACAAAATACTCCTTTGTCCAAAATAAATTAAATCTATTTTATATATCTATATAAACTAGTATAAATCTTCCCTGATGAGAGTGGACTAGGATAATCTAGATAATGTGAATTCTTTGAAATAAAACCATATTCTTCTCTTTTGAGACAGTGTCTTGCTATATAGTTCAGGATGACCTTGAACTCACAGTGATCCTCCTGCCTCAGCCTTCTACGTGCTGGGATTACAGATGTGCACCACACATGCAGCTTCCCTTCATTTTATATTTATCATAGATTACAAATTTATTTATCATTTAAAGTAACAGACTACTGGGCTACGGCGTCTTGTGAGTAGCTGAACTGCTATGAGGTGTGATAAACTTTACAGTGGAAGTTTATATTTTTAAAACATGTATTACAGTAAAACATATATTGTCATTAATCCCTCTCAAAATACTCCTGTTTCTTTGAACACTTATTCCATGGTTCTTGGCACTTTCTGAAGCAGTTCTAAAGTCCCTTTTCCTGAGTGAGTTTAAGAAGTGTGATTAAAAAATACAGTGACTGCTGCTGCTGAGTGCCATCCAGTGGGCAGATTCATAAGTACATTACAGGCTGTCCTCCTCCACCTTGCTTACCATGTGACTTCTCACCTTCCTCAAAGTCAAAACGACCATTAAAGGTCATTTTGAATTATTTGAGAGTGTCGAGATAGCCACAATAACACAGTTAAAAACACTCAAGAGAGAGGGCTTTCAGAACTGCTTAGAAAATGCTGAGAATGGTGGAATAAATATATTTGAAGCAAGAAATTATTATTATTTTGAAGGGGATTGATGGCAGTGTGTCTTTACTGTAATACATATTGAATGATTGAGACAGTGTCTCACTGTGTAGTTCAGGCTGGCCTTGAACCTTCAGTGATCCTTTTGCCCCAGCCTCCTAAGTCCTGGGGCTACAGGCCGGAGCCACCATGCCTGGCTTGTAATACATTTATTGTTACTGGTACATATTTGTAGTATATAATGTTTACATTTCTTGTGGGAAGTTTGCACATGTACATAATATACCTTTCTTTTTTTAATCCCCTTTCCCTTTCCCCCTCCATCTCCTCTTGATCCCTTCCCCCTTTTTTTTAGTATGTTTGCAAGGCATAATGATTATGCTCCTTTTCTGGGGTTGATACATGTACGTTCTACATCTTAATTCCTTTTTCATCTCCTTCCCCTCCATCTCTTCATCCCTTCCACTTTGAGAAAAATCTGTCTTTCTGCTTCCTATTATCTCTCTTACATTTTGTTCTTATTAATACTTTGAGTTTCTCAAATAAGAGAAACAATGCAATATTTAATCTGTATGTCTGATTTACTTCACTTAACACTGTGGTTTCAAGATGCACACATTTTCCTTTAAATGACTTGTTTATCTTTCTTTATGGCAGCATAGTATTCTATTGTTTACCCTGATTCCAAAATAAGACAAGGATCCAGTCAAAAAAGAGAACTACAGCCGGGTGTGGTGGCGCACGCCTGTAGTCCCAGCGCTCAGGAGGCTGAGGCAGGAGGATCGCTATGAGTTCGAGACCAGCCTGGGCTACAAAGTGAGTTCCAGATCAGTCTCAACTACATAGTGAGACCCTGTCTCAAAAAACAAACAAACAAAAAAAAGAGAACTACTGCTGGGGATTTAGCTCAGTGATTCTGCCGCCTGCATTGCAAACTCAAGATCCTGAGTTTGATCCCCAGTACCAAAAAAAAGGAACTACAGAAGACCAATTCCCTTAATAAACATAGGTGCAGAAATTCTCAAAAAGATACTGGAAGACAGCTGCAACAAATCATCAAAAAGATAATATATCATAACCAAGTAGGTTTCATCCCAGGAATGCAAGGATGGTTCAACATATACAGATCAGTAAATGTAATGTATCATATAAACAGAAACAAGGTTAAAAATTATATGATTGGGCCAGGGATTTAGCTCAGTGGTTCTGCCACCTGCCTTGAAAGCACAAGGACCTCGGTTTGATCCCCGGTACCAAAAATAAATAAAATAAAAATTATATGATCATCTCAAAAGATGCAGAAAAAGCCTTTGACAAAATCCAACATCCTTTTATCATAAAAACACTGAAAAAAAAATAGAGAGCCTTATCTCAGTCTGATAAAAGCCATTTCATGACAAACCTACTATAAAAAATTTTTAAAATTTAAACATTCACCCTACTTTTCAGTCACACTTCATGGATAATGCTTATATATTATCTGATGCTAAAGTGTAAGAAAGTGTCCCAAATTGAGTGAGCAGCAACTTCAGTATAATAAATCAAGTTTTTCCTTACTATTTAGGCATGGTAGATTTTTTCCAGTGTGTTTCTCCCACCCCATCAAACTCAGGACCCTGTGCTTGCCAGGCAGGCACGGTGCCACTGAGCCTACATCCCAGGCCCCACCAGTGCAATCTTATGTAATTGCAATTAATGCTTTATTTCCTTTTACTAATTTTTAAAAGTTATTTGCTAATGTGAATTAATTGCATATCTTAATAAAACTATACTGATGGCCAGGTCTGGTTGTGCACTCTGCCAGCACTCTAGAAGTCTGAGGCCAGGAGGTTGGCAAGTTCAAGTCCAGGGTGGGCGACTTCATGCTACCTTGTCTCTGAATTTAAAAATAGGCTCAGAATGTAGCTCCGTGCACAGGCCCTAGGTTCCACACACAGTACCACTAAAAAAGGAAAAAGAAAATGATTAATAAAAATTCCTTTTTTATGTCTTGTTTTGTAGGGAATGGTTGTATCTCCTGTCACATGAGATGTTGAATCCATACTATGGCCTGTTCCAGTATTCAAGAGATGATATCTACACATTACAGATCAATCCTGATTCTGCTGTTAATCCAGTATGATTTTTAGTTACAATGATGTGAATTAAATTGGGACTGCAATGCTTTTCATCTTTAAATGTCAATGTAGATTATTACATAAGAATTACTTATCCTTGTTGTAGTCGTACCCTTTGACTCAGTAATCTCTCTTCTAGAAAATTTTTTCAAGTAAATGATTATGAATGTATTCAACAGTGTGGGCACAGAGATATTTGGTATTTATAGTAGCTTCAGTTGAAAGCAACTCAGTTGTTCACAAGAGTGAGGATTGATTAAATTATGATATAGGACAGAATAATATAATTGATTAAGAGTATAGATTCTGGAATTAATTAAAAAGACATTGAGGCAGGGGATTTAGCTCAGTGGTTCTGCCGCCTGCCTCACAAGCACAAGGACCCAAGTTTGATCCCTGAAAAAAAAGACATATTTTAGATTTTAGAGAGGAGTTGTGGGAGTTAAATGGGACCCTGTATATTGAGTATTTAGTACAAGTGGTATACTTTATTGACCCTTCTATACATTATTAAGCACTTAAAGTTAGCAGCTATTATTAACATGTTTATATTAAACCTGCTATCTTTTCATATAAGGGCCTACTACATAGCCACTAAAATGATAATGTGGGTTGAAGATGGTGTTCATGATATATTAAATGTAAAGAAGGCTATACAGTAGCTTGATACAACTTTGGTAAATATGTGTAAGTGTGAACATTTTTGTTTTTGTTTTTTAAGGCGGGGTCTCACTATGTAGTTCAGGCTGACGTTGAATTCACTGTGTAGCTTAGGCTGGCCTCAAACTCATGGTGTTCCTCCAGCCTCAACCTCCTGTATGCTGAGATTACATGTGTGTGCCATCACCCCTGGCCATAAGTGTGAACATTGAAAGGCTATACACTGTGATAACTAACAATGGTTATCTCTGGATATTAGATAATGGATGATTTTTAAGGTTTTTGTGGTTTTTTGTTTTTGTTTTTTGTCTGTATTTTATCTGAATATGTTGTAGTGAACATTTACTTTTTTTTTTTTGGTTTTTTGGTTTTTTGAGACAGGGTCTCACTATGTAGTTGCAACTGACCTGGAACTCACTATGTAGCCCAGGCTGGTCTCGAACTCGCAGTGATCCTCCTGCCTCAGCCTCCGGAGTGCTGGGATTACAGGCGTGCGCCACCATGCCCAGCCAAACATTTACTTTTAAAAAGGAAAAGCTGGGGTAGGGATTTAGCTCAGTGGTGCCACAAGCACAAGGTCCCAAATTCGATCCCCAGTACCAGAAAAAAAAAAAAAAAAAACAAAACTTTCTAAGATCAAAGAGAGGTTAAATGTTGGTGTGGTGATGCACACCTGTGATCATAGCATTCAGGAGGCTAAGGCAGAAGAATTGTCACATGTTTGAGACCAGGCTGGGCCACATAGTGAGTTCAAGGCCAGTCTGAACTATATAGCAAGCTCTTGTCTCAAAAAAAGCCAAAAAAAAACAGATTAAAGATAAGCTTAAAGGGCCACAGATTTGACTCAGTGATTGCACTGCCTGCTTTGCAAGCACAAGGGCCTGAGGTCAATCCCTGCAAAAAAAAAAAAAAGAGTTTAAAAGTTACCCATTAAATATAGAAGTGAAAGAATTTTACAAACATCCAACTAGCAAAACAATGTGTGATGAAAATCAAATATATCCAAACATAGTAAAAGTGTTAAGATTCACTGCAGGAAATTCTGGATCAAAGGATGATTTGTAGGTGAAATTCTTGGTGAGCGCACTACTGCCTCTGTAGGCGTCACCAGCTCACATCTGTTGGACCTGTGCCAAAGGTTTCACCACCTCTTTGTGCTTCTCACAGACTCTTTAGATAGTATCATTATCTTCCTACTACCAGATGTGGACAAGTAGTCCTATAGGTCTATTAATTTGACCAGATATACAGAGCCAGTGATGGCAGAAACATGACTAATCCAAGTCTCACACCAAATCTCTGCTCTTAAGTCTGTAGTAGTTTGAGGTACAGTTTCTGGGTAAGTCAAGGAAGCAGGTATGTGTAGGATTGAAAGCATTTTTCCCTGGCAAGGGCCTCAACAGGAGATGAGCAGAGAGGAAGAGAATGGGGTCTGAGGCGTGGAATGAAGCTGCAGCGGGGCAGTAATGTGGAGCGCTTTCCGAAAAGATGAGTTGTACAGAGTGTGCCTTTTCTCTCTGAGGGGCATCGATACAAACATGTTATTTCATAGTGACTTAGAGAATCTTGAACATACTATATAGAAACACTCCCTGAGGGTAATTGTGCTTTGATAATATAACTCCTTCCATTTAAATAGTTGTTGGGTACAAATTTGATACTTATTTTAAAATGCTTGATATTTCTTAAGTATTTATATTAAAAACTTCCTGGATAGTCTCTAACTGGAGTATTTATATAAACTTTTTTGAATTTCAGGAACATTTATCATATTTCCACTTCGTTGGACGAATAATGGGAATGGCTGTGTTTCATGGACATTACATTGATGGCGGTTTTACATTGCCTTTCTATAAACAGTTGCTCGGAAAGTCAATTACTTTGGATGACATGGAGTTAGTTGATCCAGACCTTCATAATAGTCTGGTGTGGATACTGTATGTATTGATTCTTTTATCTATTCATTATACTGTAGTTAGAATAGGAGCTTTACAAAAAGTGTTTCAAAAGTGATACATTTTATCTTAAAATTTTAAAATATACACAGAAAATACTGAATGTGATTATGTGAGTGATAGGACCACGTAAGACTTTTCCCCTTTCTACCGCTCTCCTATACATTTAAAATTCCATAAAGTTAGAGTATTACTAGTTTTTTGTTTTTGTTTGTTTTTGAGACATGGTCTTGCTGTGTAGTTCAGGCTGACCTTGAACTCACAATGTATAGCTAGGCTGGCCTCAAACTTGCAGGGATCCTACTGCCTCAGCCTTCCGAGTGCTTGGATTACAGGAGTGCACCATCTTCCCCAGCTTTGAGTATTACTAGTTTGAAAAGGGAAAAATCTAGTGTACATTGAGTATCCCTTATGTGGAATGCTTGGGACTAGAAATGTTTCAGATGTTATATATTTATATATATATATTTTTTGGATTTTGTTATATTTGCATTGAGATCTTGAGAGGACCCAAGTCTAAACACAAAATTCATTTATTTCATATATCTTGTGTATGTATATAGCCTACAGATAATTCTGTAAAATATTTTTAATACACCCATGTTTTGATTTCAACTTGTCACATGAGGTCAAATGTGGAATTTTCCACTAGTGGTGATGTGTTGCCCCTGACGAAGCTTTGGATTTTCTGATTATGAATGCTTAACTGGTATATTCTAGTTTATAAAATGCTGTGTCACAGCTGGGCATGGTGCATCCAAGGCCAGCCTGAACTATGTAGCAAGACCATGTCTCAAAAAAAAGTATACTCTGAATAATAATTGTCAGTGTGATGAAAGTTTCCATCCAACCTATTGTGTGTCAGAATTCCTCGTGCCATTGATTGGGTGGTGGGGAATACTGAAGTATTGAATCTATGGCTACTGTACTACTGGACTACATCCTGGACCTTTTTTATTTTTTTTAATTTTGGGATAGGATCTTGCTAAATTGCCAAGGTGGGACTTGAACTTTCTCTCTTCCTGTCTCAACCTCCCTTAGTGCTGGGATTACAGGCATGAGCCACCACACCTAGTTGTCTTTTTTGGGGGGGTACTGGGGATTGAACTCAGGACATTGTGCTTGCCAGGCAGGCGGGGGCATCAATGAGCTAAATCCCTGGCCCTTGTCATTGATTTGTAATTAAACAGTGACTTTTTTTTAAGGTTATGACTAATGTTGTTTAGGAAGATATATTGGCAATACTGTACTTATTTTTATAAAACACAAAGGTTGGTTTCTCACTGGGGATACTCAAATATTTGCTTAAACAAGGGTGCTCAGGTTCAGGAGGGCCTATTATCTGAATCCCTGTCATAGCTGAAACCTTTCTAGGTTGTGGTTCTAGCAAAGTAGCTTTGATCATGGCTCTGTCTTACTACTTTGGAAATAAAATATTAACCTGTGTTTAGGTTCAAGCATTTTTATTTTTCTACCCAGGAGAAGGTGAAATTGGTAGCATAAAAACTAGGAAGAGGAGCCTAACCTGACATTTGTCATTATCAACAGCCTTAGCTCTGTCTCACCAGTTAATACACCTATTGGATCTGTGGTCTCGATTTCCCAGTTATGTGTCTTTTTCTCTTTCCTGTTTAGTGAGAATGATATTACAGGGGTTTTAGACCATACCTTCTGTGTTGAACATAATGCATATGGTGAAATTATTCAGCATGAACTTAAACCAAATGGCAAAAGTATCCCTGTTACTGAAGAAAATAAAAAAGAGTATGTCAGGTAAACAATTCTTATGTTCTCAAGGTTGAGAATTTTTTTTAATATTCTAGGATACCGGTGTGGAAAAATATGTAAGTAGTAGTATTAATTATTGTTACAAAAATATGCCTCCCTCCACAGAATTCAGTGACTTAAAAATAACTACCATTTTATTATTTTTCACAATTTTAGAGGTCAGTAATTTAGGCAGAGAACACACGGTTGCACACGATGTTAGCTAGCACTCTTCACTCACATATGAAAAGCCTGAACTAAAATGGCTCAAAAGCTTGGCTGCAGGGGCTCACACCTTGAATCACTCTCTGCAAGCTCATTCTCACTGGGCTCTTTAGTTGCACTTTCGAGGCAGGTGGCGGCCCCACTGAGCTAGATTCCTGGCCCTTCAGGTTTTATAAAATATAAATTGAGGAACTTTGAAGTATTGGGTTAATATAAATTGTAAACACAAACCATGGTAATCATGTTTAGGAGTTTGAACTTTAGCATATGTATACAGACATGTATACAGTACTGTTACATCAATTACGTATCTAAATCTTATTAGCTAAACTTTCCTAGTTTCAAAATGAGGCCACTCAGTGTCATACACTATTGATTGAAGTGAACATTGTAGTAGCTTTTTTTTTTTTTTTTGGTTTTTTTGAGACAGGTTCTCACTATGTAGTTGAGTTCAGATTGACCTGGAACTCACTATGTAGCCCAGGCTGGTCTCGAACTCACAGTAATCCTCCTGCCTCAGCCTCCCGAGTGCTAGGATTACAGGCGTGTGCCACCACACCCGGTTTGTAGTAGCTTTTTGAAAAGCAGATCCGTAACAACTAGCAAAATGAACATGCACATGATCTTCAACTGGCAGCTCTGTTTTTAGGACTCTTCTGTAGAAACATACACATGTAAGTAAAAACATATGAGTATAGATGTTTAGCTAAATAGTACTTGTAAAAAATTAACTACCAGGTCTAGGGATTTAGCTCAGTGGTGCTGCTGTCTGCCTCGCAAGAGCAAGGTCCTGAGTTCGATCCCCGGTACCCCCCCCAAAAAAATGAACTACCAAAATGTTTTTAGAGTAACATGATTTAACACATGCATCCAGTAGGATATTTGAACGCAAGACTGCATAAGCTGTTAAATCCAGAAAACAAGTCCTAGACAATTTATATAGGAAGAAACTGTTACAGGATGTTCAGGAAGGCTGAATACCAAATTCAGTGTTTACCTAGGACAGTGGGGGTGAACCTGTGACACATGTGCCACAGCAGGCAGTTTGTGTCATTGCAAATTCTAAAAGGTTCACCATCACTGGCCTAGGGAGAAGAAACAGAGTTGGTGTCTTGGGAATAGGAGATCCGCGGAGAAGAGGAGAATGGGTTTTGGGTTTCATTGTCACCGCAGTTACTGTCTGGTGTTTCTTCATATAAGTGATAAGGGTGCATTGCATTTGTAATTAAACATATGAGAGGGCCAGGGATTTAGCTCAGTGGTTCTGCCATCTGCCTTGAAAGCACAAGGTCCTGAATTTGATCCCCGGCACCCCCCAAAAATATATACATACACATACACACATACAATGTGTATGTATGTGTATATGTATATAAAGAGTGACGGGGAAGTTCTCCAGCCTCAGTAGCATGTCACTCCAGGATCTAGTGTGTCACTTTCTGAGTTCCTAGACCTACTTCCTCCAGGGCTCGTGTAGGCTCTTTGACACGGTAATAATTCCTGGCCATTGACAGATGTGAGAGGCAGCTGCACAGTGACAATAGTTGTGCAGTATTATTGTCTTTAAACTGACAAACAACACTGAGGTCCTCCAAAGGATATAATGTTAAGCAGTTTGTTTATTGAAGTAGAGGACTCTTCTTCCAAGTTTGGAAAAGGAAATACTGGTAACATTTGACAAATAAATAGTTCCGAGATGTATGAGATGAATGTTTACTGGGAAGATGGGTGAACAAAAACAGTCCCCTTATAAATGGTAAGTTCCAGCCAGAGCACAAGTTACATAAGAGATGTAGTTTAGTGTGTACTTACTGTTGGTACAACAGCATCTTTCAGTTTCTACAGCCTTCAAGGAGTAATGATTAAAAAATGCTTTCAAAAATTGCTTTTACTTTTTCTCATTTTGGATATGAGGATTTTCCTCTTCTTCCTGTGTAGTCTTCCCCAAATATAACTGAAGCATGCAATACATTCCAATGATACTTTCAAGTAAAGCCAGAAAAATCACCATTTTTGGTTAAATGAGCTATTCTGGTTACTGGCATATATGGTGTAAGTTTAGAAGGAAGTTTTTTTAAAGATATTTTTTCTTCTGATATGGTGGATTGAACCCAAAGCCTCACCCATGCTAAGCATGTACTCTACCAGTGCGCTACATTTTGAGCCCACAGGACTTTAAGCTCAGAACCATCTAAGCTCTGGATTTCTAGTTTACTGGGAGTTTGTCTAATTAGAAGAGTTGCTTTATTGATAGTGCTTTTCTTGGTGGGAAGGTACTACTTTTTATGTCCATTGAACTTCCTCACAGCTTAGGATCTATTTATCCACATTAGTTTCAGACTAAATTCCTGATTCTAGATGCTTGTATAGTGTGATGCTGCTAAAGTAGAAAATTTAATAATTGCCAAATCTGAGTGTATATGATCATAGGAAAATCCTGTCCAATATTTACAGACTGTATGTGAACTGGAGATTTTTACGAGGCATCGAGGCTCAATTCCTGGCTCTGCAGAAAGGATTTAATGAAGTGATTCCACAGCATCTGCTGAAGACATTCGATGAGAAGGAGTTAGAGGTCAGTGCATTAGTGTTGTGACCTCATCTAATGCAACAGGAAAGTAATTGGGAATTACTTTTCTTAGTTTTAGAGAAGTTGTATTTCTGTTGCTTTCAAAATTTTATACTGCAGTTCCATAAGAATTCTTACTAGGGAAAACCTTTCATGTTTGTAATTTCTGTGAGCAAACGATCTCTCTTATATTGTGATTTGTATTTTTTATTTATTTATTTATTTATTTTTTGCTTTTGTGTCAGGGTCTCACTATATAATCTAGGCCAGCCTTATACTTGCTAGGTGGCTGGGCGTGGTGGCGCACTCCTGTAATCCCAACAATCCAGCACTCAGGAAGCTGAGGCAGGAGGATCGCTGTGAGTTCGAGACCAGCCTGGGCTACACAGTGAGTTCCAGGGCAGTCTCAACTACATAGTGAGACCCTGTCTCAAAAAATAAAAAACAAAATAAACTTGCTAGGTTGCCCAGGCTGGCAACTCAAGACTGCCTCAGTCTCCTGCTGCTGGGTTCACAGACCTGTGCCTGTGTACAACACTGGCCTTATCGTGAACACTTATAGTTCCATAAGAACACTTATAGTTCCATAAGATTTTATGTCTTGTGTGTAAATTCTTCCAGTGTTTTTTCTACTCTTTGATTTGGCGGTTATTGATTTAATTAACCAAAGCCTCAGTTGGTTCAAATGGGTTTGTTTGCACTAAGCTTTGTTGGAAAACATTTGGTAGACAAGATCATAAAATAAGTAAGACACTTAGGATAAACTGAACAATACCTTAATTACCCCTTTGGAAATACTCATATACTAACAGGTGTACTCAAGAGTTTGTAGTATTTTTGTTTCTGTTAAAACTAGAGAACTTAGAATATGGTTTTATTAATTTCATTGTCTTTTGTAATTAAATTTGTTAACAGACACGGTAGCAAATAAATACAAAGACTGGTTTGACTCAGTAGTATCCCTCCTTCCGTTTTTGTTGAAGTTGCTAGTGCAATGGCCAAAGGAAGTGGACAGGAGGAGGAGGCAGGTACAGCAGCAGTGACAGTAAAGCCGGGGTGTGGGACCTTCTCACTGAAAGCGGGGTATACCTTATAACGGTCACTCTGGATGTTCTGACAGCATCCATAACCCTGTTAGGCTTACCTGTTTCCACTTCAGTGTGGCTTAAACTCTGATCTGTTAGAAGTCTACCTAGTTGCTTTGTTGGAGATTTCATTCCATAGGAGTAGGATTTATTGTATAGTTTTTACTGCTAATGAAATCATTAAACTGATCAGAAAAGTGTATAGCACTTAATGTTATACTAGATTGACAGATTCTAAAAAATTAGGATATACAAGTTACATTGTTTTATACTATATATTATCATAATTCACTGTAAAAAGATGTTAGATTAGCGATGAGTTAGTCTTTGACCCTAAAGAGATATATATATTAATAGTATCAAAAGGATTTTGATATGATCTTTACTGACTTTGCATCTGTATCAGTGTGTCCTGTATTTCATGTATAATTTTAAAATTATTAAGCACTGCATTAATCCAGTATTCGGCATACATTTCTTTAGTTGCTGTGCACTGTAGCCCCTTTCACAGGATGTATGCAGTGAAATAGATCCAGCTCCCATGCCACGGCAGAGGAAACTTGGCTAGGGAAGAGCTCAGTAACCCCAACTCACAAAGCTGATAGTGAGTGTTGAAACCATAATAATATACGCATCCAAGGAGGCACATACACATTGTATTTACTTTTTGAGTCTTTAATTTTGATCCACATTTAAAGATTTTAGAATTCTCTTTTGAAATTAGGAATTTTCCCAGTGGCTTTAATCTGTGGAGTCCAACACAGTGGTGGTTTTCAGGCCATGGGAAAGGAGTCTGCAGTGAGCAGATACCTGTGGAAGTTTTTAAAATGCATATCCTGTCACCCAGATGCACAGAATTAGAGTTTCTGAGCAGAGAACCTAGTGTGTATATTTTGAGAGGCTTTCCAGATGATTCTGATGTACACCTTTGATTAAGAATACCAAATGAGAGGGCCTGGGATTGAACTCAGTGGTTCCAACTCCTGCCTTGCAAGTGCAAGGACCCACGTTCGATCCCTAGTACCAAAACAAAACAAAATATTCTTTTTCCCAGCGTGGTGGCACGTGCCTGTAATCCCAGCACTCGGGAGGCTGAGGCAGGAGGATCGCTGTGAGTTCGAGACCAGCCTGAGCTACATAGTGAGTTCCAGGTCAGTCTCAACTACATAGTGAGACCCTGTCTCAAAAGAGCAACAACAAAAAAGAATACCAAATGAGGATCAACACTACAAATCTAGAGTTCTGTTTTGAGGAATTTTTGGCATGGCTTTGGTTTCCACTGGCTCATCATTTGTGCAATATGTTAACAGCTCATTATTTGTGGACTTGGAAAGATAGATGTGAGTGACTGGAAGGTAAACACCCGGTTAAAACACTGTACACCAGACAGCAATGTCGTCAAGTGGTTCTGGAAAGCTGTGGAGTTTTTTGATGAAGAGCGGCGAGCGCGATTGCTACAGTTTGTGACAGGATCATCTAGAGTGCCTCTGCAGGGCTTCAAAGCACTACAAGGTACGAACCCAGAGGGACAGGCAGGCACAGTGGCGTCGGATGTTCTGGGGTGGAGGTAGGGTGGCACTGAGACATTTTACAAACCCTGTGCTTATGAACAAATTCTCTTTTCACTCTTTCTTATCTGGAACTCTCACGTCGTGATGCCTTCTTCTCCTTCCTTCTCTTGCTCCCCCCAAGAGCCTTTTCTGCAGGGCTCTCTGTGATTGTAGTGAGTGATGCATGTTAGATTGGCTGTATGTGGTGATCACTGCCTTTCATTTCTGGTCACGTAGCTTTTAATTCTGTTGTACATTTCTGTAGGGGAGACCATCTGCTTCCATGTTCACATCTCAACCTGGCAAAACATTTCCCCACTTGATTGCCTCTCCCCTCACTTTGTTTGTTTTTTTGGTACCGGCGATCGAACTCGGGTCCTTGTACCTGCAAGGCACCTCCCCTCACTTTATTCTTAACAGAAAGAGACAGCATGATTTATGGAGGCCATCTGTTTGGCCAGAGCACTTTAATTATTGCATGGCGTCAACCACTGATTTTCAACCATATTCCATTTTTAAGTCTTGTTTTCTGTGGAATAAGCTGCTAATTTTTGGGTGCGTTATTACTATGGCTAATGATTGTCATGCTTACATGGGTGGCAGTAGCTTCCTTTACCTCTCAAGCTCTTCATTTTTAAAGTTGCTGCTGTTGGTGCCAAGGGAGGAAACACAAATCAAGACTGGTACATAATTCATCAGTGCCACAACGGTGCATAAGCTCAGAGTGCGCTGACAAATTGTGCTTACTTTCCCTCTGTGGGGAATTAGAAGTTGCAGTTGGCCTCCATATATTTGTATGGGGTGTCTGTGTTAACTGAAATGGATCATATGCTGTTTATCTTGTTCTTGGCTCAGTTTGAGGCATGACGTCTAAGTTTGCATTTGGTTGTGATCTTCTGAGTGTGTGCAAACACTGTGATTTATCTTGGCTGATTATTTTTCTCATTATTTTGGGATATTGATCTATAAAATAGAAGCTGGCAAAGAAGTTTCAATCCTGAATTTTTTCTCCAGCTGAAATGCTAGTGTATTGAGGCAGCCAGCCTTATCCAGTATCAATTCCAGCTTTAAAAACCCAGATTCTTTTCCTGCTACCCTGAGGAAAAGCAGGTGTGGATTTACAACATTCCTCTATCCCTGGACCTTGTGGCTTATGTACCAGTTCTAGTCTCAAACTGTGCCGATGGATCCGTCCATGTACCTGCAGTGATCTGACCTACATTTCCCTCCCACACAACACAGGTGCTGCAGGCCCACGGCTCTTCACCATACACCAGATTGATGCCTGCACTAACAACCTGCCCAAAGCCCACACGTGGTGAGTGATTTCTGTAGCTGTTCCCACCATCCCATGTAGTAGTTAGTTCCAAATGGATTTGACTTTTCATTTATTTCCTTACTAGTTAAAGGATGTTTAGGAGGAATAAACAACTCAAAAGAGTGATACAAGATTATTCAGAAATTAATAGAAAAACCCTAAAGTGGTAATCGACTTTAGCAAAGTACAACCTTTTAACTTTCTGTGCCTCGAGGAATAATGTGGCTGTATTAGTAAACACGTGGTAGGCCAGTGTATGTTTGTTTTGAATGGACTGTTAAAGTCTGATGTGCTTCTCCACAGCTTCAATCGAATAGACATTCCGCCGTATGAAAGCTATGAAAAGCTCTATGAAAAGCTGCTAACAGCCATTGAAGAAACTTGTGGATTTGCTGTGGAATGATGAATTTCGAGGACTCACCCAGGACTCTATTTATACCCTTGACCGACAGCCTCCATTCAGCAGTTTCAGAGAATGCTGAAATACAGGAAATCACCCTCTCTCCCTCCTTTTTTAAAAGTTTTAGGACACTGTGAGGGGAAAGGACAACTTTGAAATTCCTCTTCAAGGAAAAAAGGTCTTTATGCTTTGCCATGAGGACACATTCAGCTGCTATTTAAAATTAATATCTTGAACCTAAAGAATGCTGACTTTTCCTGCGTCTCCAGAGTTAGGCAGTATTCTACACTTAAAGACTACTACTATTTTTATAAAAGGTAATCTATTAAAATCACTTCACAGATTTCAAGTCTTTCACACATCAAGATAACTTCAGCAATCGGTACAAGTCCCATTTCATTTTGATTGAGTACATGATTTTGAATAGCTCCTGTACTTGCTCTTTGTAAAAAAGAATAAAGTTATTTTGAATTATTCTAACTTTATAAACGATTGGCTAAAAGAATCATTATCTTTACAAGATTAAGCCATTTACATGTTTGTTTTTTCTATAGGAGAACATTGTATTTTGCAGTATGTGTTTCAACTTCGCCTTCGTGGGTTGTTTTTGTATTTTTTCAAGCACAAATTTCCTGGAAATACAGCTTTATTATTTTGGTTATTAACTTCCTAATGCAACCATTTAGCCTAAACTTAGTAGTTTGCTACCCTAAGATGTTCAGGGGACCCTTGTTAAGATGACTTTTTAAAATCATAATGTTTTTTATCTTGAATCAGTATGATCAGGTATTTTGGATTTACTTTTTATCTTAAATGGAAATACTGCATTTTTATAGCTTTTCAGAGCATGTGGGTGGGGTGGGATTTTAATTCTTTTGCTGGGTCAGCTTGTCTTTACTATATATACTGTTCCTGTAAACCAAAGTCTCTACTAAGTGCACCTAATTTATATTTTAATTACATTTTCTATCGAGTAAGCTATGCTGAAGCTTTGTTTAGTTGCTCATAATTTTAATCAGCTAAAATTATGAAAAAGGAAAATTTTGCTCTGAAGATTTATTTAGCAAGCTTCGAAAACCCTGCTCTTACCGATATCACAAGATGAACTGAAACTAGTACTTGGGGTGGGGGGGTGGGGGATGTGATTTCTGGAGAAAGTGATTCTAATTCCATGATATAGCTAAATCACTCTAAAGTGGAAGAATTAACTTTGGAAATCCCAGTTCCCTCAGTGCTGAAGATCTGCACCTGGTTTCCAAATGTCCAGATTGAGCTTTCAAGGTGAGAGGCGTGTTGCACACCCGACAAGGCAACCAAAACTATGAGACACTAGAAGAAATCCCGGTGGATTTTTAAGTTCATCCATCAAAAAAGAATGCACTATTCATTTTTAAAATATTCATGTGAAATAAGAATAGCAAATTTTGATGATAGACTTTAAATTTCACAGGTTAATTATAAAGTGAATAATCTTTTGTGGTGTTTCAAGTGATGGAGTGGGTTTTAGTCTGTGTTCTTGAAGCCAGAGTGTTCCTCAGTGGTGCCTGAGGAGCAGTGGTTTACGGGAGGAGGGACAAAGAGTGTTCCTCAGTGGTGCCTGAGGAGCAGTGGTTTACGGGAGGAGGGACAAAGAGGGAAGGAACTCTAGTTGGTATTGGAGCTAAAGCCTCGAACTGCTCTCCCCTCCCCACTTGACCCAGAGCAGCTCCACTTTTTTTTTTCTTTTTATTGTAAGCTTTCATGGGGTTGGGTGGGGTGCTGGGGAACAGCTAGAATAAATGGAGTCTGCTGCTTTAAAAAAAAATGCCGAAAACTACTTTTGTAGTTTCCAAGTATTTTAATGTCATTCATCTGGCCAAATTTGAGTGCTACAAGTAAGCTGGTCATAGTCATAACTGTGCAGTGGTAATGTGATTACACCAACCTTTTCTTCCCACTTTTCCTGCTGCATTCTTAGTAATACTGAAGAACATCGTGATGTGTACAGAAATGGTTTCTATGCTATTTTGAGTATCGGTCATTTTCAGCTTTTTGATAGTACCTTATTGGTTTGCAGATCCATCTTTTTTATATTAAAGCACTAATGCAGTTTGTAACTGTGCCTACTCTTAAAATCTTTCAGTAAAAAATACAATATGAACACTTTAGAGAAATCATAACTGACAGGGATGCAGTAATAATGAAATACTACTATTAGTTGTTTTTATGTACAATATAAAAGCAGGCAAATACCATCGCTTTTTGAGTGCCTTTCACCATTACAGTAATGACTTAATGGAGCTTTAAAAGCAAGAAATCATCCTACTTAACTGTATGGTATCACCAGTATGATATATCAAAGTGGTTTAATTTCAATTTCAAAATTACATTATCCAATTACTTCTAAATAGGTGCTGAGTAAATAAACCCCTCCCCGGTGTCATTGAACCATGGATTTGCACCTTGTTGAATGTGAATATTTATTTCCACACGTCCCTCTCAACTGGGTTCCCTTCCTCTAGTTGTTATTTCAGATTTTTGATGTCATCTTCCCATACTGTTGCCTTTCCATCATGAATGCTTAATTCAGAGCTTGATTCCTTTGTAGAGCTCATATGCAGTACAGAAGTGAGTTTCAGAGGGCCTTATTTCTTGGTGTAAAGAGTTTTTAAATAGTACTGTGTATAGTGTACATTGTTTTGCACATAGTTTGTTGCCCTGAATGGATTTATTTTTTTAAGTCTCTTTTATATTTACAGTCCAAAGCACAAGCTTCTCTTCTTTTAAATGCAGTATAATTTGCTTTATTTTACAACACTAAATTTGCTTTCAACTTCTGGTGCATTGGACTGTCTGCACTGGTGAGTTAGATGCTTCTGGCCACCTTCAGTTTGGTAGAGCAGCTCTTTCTGCTTCTGTCTTTAAGCTGCAGCTTACAGCCAACAGGTACCATTTGTGGTATTCAACATTCTTATGGTAGGATGGTGGTGATTGTACCAAATGCTGAATTGTTTTATTTCTAGATGTAATTAGTTCACTTTATGTAATATTCTTCCTTCTCTCAAACTGACTTTAAAAACAAAGTTTTATCATTTTCATTGTATTTGTATTTATTACAGAGTGTTTTAGCTTTGACGTTTTGTATTTTCACCAAGTTGTTACATGAGCTTTATCAATAACATCTGTATAAATGGTTTTTAAGAATTAACTATGTACGCGCCCATGCCGAAGTTGAGCAATAAAAATGAATGCTGTTTGCACTACCACAGCATCAAAGTTTTTAAAGAATATCGAGTTTGTAGTGAATTGTTTTGGAAAACAATAGATTGGTTCTATAGTGAGAGGCTGAACAATACTTGCCTTCCCCAGCTGATGACTTTGTCCATCAGAGCTTCAGAGAGGTCAGGGACCCTTTCTGTCTCCAGCTTGAGCAGGAAGGTGCCTGTTTCTCCTGCCATGGCGCCTGTTGGCAGCTGTGTCAAGAAAGATGGGATTTCTGAAGCCAGTCTGGATTTAGAGGGGAAGAATGATATGGTTCCAAAACTACTCTGTAACCAGATCTGTTAAGGATGTGAGGGTAGAGTTATAGCAGGGCCCTCACATTTTCCAGCCCTGCCATGGTGCTGAGCAGCTAAACCCTCAAAATGAAAAGGAGAAATCAGTTATATTTTCCCTAGCAGCTATATAGACTTTAAGGTTTATGATTCACAATTCTGCATCTAGAATACAGGATAGAGGAGGCAATTACGTAGTTTAACAATCTTAGCAAACTAGACAGTCCAAATTTTAAAGTTAAATTTACTTTCTTCAAAAGGTATTTGCCCTAAATAGGACCAACAAATACCTATTTTTTCCTGTGTGCCAGGCTCTATACAGGCTGTGAGGTATAGAGCTTTGAATAGCTGTTAGAAAACTGAACTTCCAAACTAATATTTCCAGCCTGTATTTCAGCAAAGACCAAATCCAAACCCAAGGACTCAAAACCCAAGATTGAATATGGCAAAGTCAGTCATGATGGGATCATCCACCTCAGCAAGTCTCTGAATCCCAGACCTAACACTTGGTTTTACTTGGGACGCTCAAGAAGGAAGGTAACAAATTTGAGGCAACTTGGGAAGCTTCTGTCTCTAAATAAAGGGCTGGAAGTGTACAGCTCAGTAGTAGAGCACTTGCTTAGCATGTGCAATGCATGGGTTCGATCCCGTCACGCAAGTGGGTACACACGCACACACACACACACAAACAATTTTGCTTTGGGAGCAAAGAGAAAGGGATCTTTGCCAGGTGGCCCAGTCTCCTGTCAGCTGCCAGTCTGCAGAGGGCAGCACTTGAAACCGTAATAGTCAATCCAGTGGCCCGCTCTAGGGCAGTACCATCTCACCTTGAAGCCTCCTTGGGCCTCTCACCACTTGTAACCTCCTCCTCCTGCTCCTCTCTGCACGCTGTCACGTGAGCCCCCACCTGCTTGCTGTCCTGTTGTGGTACCCTCTTATCTATCCCTGGCCTTGAGCAGCAAGGTCCCCATATCCTCAGTGGCTCTGAAACTTGCCTCCGACTCCTGGTTTTCACTGCTGAGTTTTCTTTCTAGTATTCCCCCGACCAGGGAAGGGTTGGTATACTGTTGCCCACTTTCCAATCCCCCTGTGCTCCTTTGACATGCAAACCTTTAGCCTCCTCGCTGCCCTCTTATTACACAGAAGCCAAAATGCATAAATGTCTCCCATCTTCCCAGTCATCTGAGAGACCTGCACATGTGATAATATATAGTCAAAGTTCAACCCTAAGGCCCCCTCTAAAGACTAGGCCACATTTCTCACTTTTCTCTCAATGTGGTTTTTCTGAGGGGAGGGGGATTTGGACTCAAGCAAGACCTGCTTTATCACAAATATGACTTAAGGATATGTGCCTTTATTCCCCTTTACCCAGGTACTTTTATTATTTTTTTGTACCAGGAATCAAACTCAGGTTCTTGCACTTGCAAAGCAGGCGGCAGAACCACTAAGCTTAATCCCTAGCCCTCCCAGGTTTTAGGTTATAAATTTAAAACAGCTCTAAGAAAAATTTTTATTTTAAAAATTGTAAGTATTGGAATGAATACATAGATATGGCATTTAAAAATCACTCTTTTGGTTTAGACTGTTTACTGGTGCAATTCTAGCTCTGCCCAGAACCATCACCTGTCAAGTCGGGCCTCATGGGAAGGGACGGTTACTGTACTGAAAGGAAGCCAGCTGTAGCCGAGCTCTGAAGCGCTCGACTTCCAACTCCCGGAAGAAAGCATCATCGTCATTCTGCGTTATCACGTTCCGCAGTTGCTGGATTTCTTTCTCCATCTTAGATCTCAGTTCTCGCTTCACCTTATGTAACGTCTGAAAGAGAACTCATGTTATCCTACTATTCACAGCATTTATCTAGGCCCTCATCTATTTTTATTCCCTCTTCCCCTTCCAGCTTAACCAGCTCCTGCAATAATTTTAATAATTTAGAAGTAGTTCTTACAGAGACCAGAACAGGTAAACTTAAATCTCAGATAAATGTCTTGGATTACAGATGGATTTTATTAGTTTTCTCTACATCCCATTAACACTTATAATACAATTGTTTTCTATTTCCTACAAATGCAAATAAATTACTTCTATCCTGTTATTACCTGGGCCTGGGCTTTCTCTCTGGCTTTGAGTTCCTGACGTTCCTGTGATATGGCTTCTGCCAGCAATGAAAACTGTTCATAGGGAAGAAAAAAATCAAACCTTACACACTTAGTGTTTTAGGGAGTTTTTATATTTGTTGCTCATAGGCTTAAAATATTTTATCTTAATGGAAACAGGGCAATATAGTATTCTATGACCAAGAACTAGCTTACATTTAGTCTTAAAAATGGGGTCACTTTGGGCTGCAAAGTCCCAGTTAACATGTGGAGGTTTAGTATCAGCACACTAAGCAGACTTCTGACGGGTGTTCAGATCAAGCACATTCTAAAGGGAGCAAGAGCCCACCTGGTCCTTATAGTAGTTTTCCATTGAGTCCAGTTCATTCTGGTGCTGCCTTTTTTCTTCATCTCGCTTTTCTTTGGCATAGTTTCTTAGATCTTGTAATCTTTGCTTCTGAATTTGTAAACCTTCTTCAAATAGCTTCTTAAATATCTGTCAGTTATATAATCATAAAGGTGAATGTATGCTGAACTATCACTATACTGAACTAAATGAACAGTATTTTAGTCAATTAAAGGTTTAGACTGTATTTCACAAAGATTTTTAAAAATCAGTTAATTCAGATATTCACAGCTGGGTGTGATAGTGCATGCCTGTAATCCCAGCACTTGGGAGGCTGCACGATGATGCCTGTGAGTTCAGGGCCAGCCTAAGCCACAGAGCAAGACCCTGTTTCAAAAACAATTCACATACCATGATAATTATCCCTTTTAAAATACATATTTCAGGGCAACCCATTCAGGACCCTTCCTGTCTCCCAGGAGCTATTCTTATTCTCCATTTGTATTCCCTACTTGTATTCCCCATCAAATCTTCCTACTCTTTAAAATTTTATAGATCTAGATATATCTGTATCTTTCAGGCAGGGTGTAGTGGCACATTCCTATAATCCCAGCACTCGGGTAGCTAAGGCAGGAGGATGAATGCAAGTTGAAGGCCAGCCTGAACTTCATGGTGAGACCTTGTCTCCAAAAAAAAAAAAAAAAGTGTGTGTGTGTGTGTGTGTGTGTATAATTCTAGCTGTATTTGGATTCTGGATGCAAGCTGAGATGAGTCAGAGCGGTCCTGAGAGATAATAGACAAACTCACTATAAATGGGATGGCAGAGTGTCTACACTTACCATTTCTTCCCGGGTCCTCATTCTCATCATTTTTGCACGCAGCTGAACTCTGTAATCATCATAGTATTTACGGGCATGAACAATTTGCTGACGATTTTCTTTTATCTTTGATTGGGTCAACCTTTGTCTACGAATGCGGTCCCTAAAGTCTTGCTAGGAATGGGGAAGGGAAGAAAGGGACATATGGAGAAGAGAGGAAAACACAAGTCTTAATTTCATTCTCATCTTCCCAGCCAGCCACACAGGCTCAGTGGCCTCCTGCCTGGGTACAGAGTAAGACCACCAGCCCCCAGGATCCCTTCAGGCTTTCGGCTTCATTGGCTTCATCACCTCAGTCTGAACAGCAGCACTGACAAGTTCCCGATCCTACAGAAAAACAGTCCACACCCCGAACAGTCCACTCTGAGGTCCTAATTTCCCCACTCCAGCATAGGGCACAGGCTCCACTCAGTAACAGTTTAACAGGAGTGGAAAAATACCATGCTGTGACTTTCAAGCAAAGCTTGGGTTGTCACAAGTATTTAAATAGGCCAAAACTACAGAAATTAGACAGTATCTGACCAACAGAAGGAAATGAGGTCATCACATAAAGCCTCCAGCTCTGGTGTTCAGGGTCTTCTCCCACACCACATACAGCTGATGTAGAGTTCTCAAGGCTCATCTACTCACTAATCAGTGAGGAGGTTCGTACATTTCTTCCTTGGGCAGATTCTCCAACTTCTGTCATCTCCCTTCGCTATACTTACAGAGACTAATATGCTAATTATGCCGTCCAACCTGGGAAAGACAGGAGATGGCAAAAATACTAAACTACAACCACTTAGCACCTAGAAGGGGCTGCGGAGATTCAGAGATGCAACTGGAGAACAATCTCAGTTGCACTCCTTGCCTATGGCGAGATCCAGGACAGGTTACTCAACATTTTTCATTGCATAAAAATCATATTCTGTGATTTGTCACTATAAAAACTAAATAAATGAAAATGGTCCTAAAGTACTATCACTTCCTCCTCTCATCGATTTTGGTTAAAGCCCCACATGCTTCCTCAGGTGAGTATTAATCCAGGTACACAGATAAAGGAAATGAATACAACTTCCAAGTTCAGAATTACAATTCCCGGGCCGGGGATTTAGCTCAGTGGTTCGGTGGCCTGTCTCGCAAGCACAAGGACCCGAGTTCAATCCCCGGTACCAAAAAAAAGAATTACAATTCCCAACTTGCTCTTAACATACCAGTCTCTTGTTATGTTCATACTCTTTCTTGACAAGGGCAGTAAGGAGGTCATGCCTTCTCAGGGCTTCTTCTATCTTTACGGGCAACACAAGGCAAGTAGGTTAATAATGTTGTTCGAGGAGTTTCCCCTTTCTTATACTTCAAACTAACAGTAACTTACTTCATCCCGGAGTTTCTTCTTTGATCGATTTTCTCTACATGCATCGTTTTTGAGCTGTTCAATATGTGCAATTTGCTGTTTCCACATTTTGCTTAGTGTTGGGCCAGAGACATAGAGAAATGGAAACTGCTCCAGCATCAGGGGCAGCAGACTGTGTTCATTTACTTTCACTGCAAGGGAACGTGAGAGGCTTTGATCTGACACACATGCCAGCGAGAACTCTCACCTCCCCTTCCTGATGGACCAAAGTTTCATCTAAGATATGCAGTGCTGATCCTGAAAAGAACCATTCTACGTGTTCTTATTGTATGTGTTCCTTCTTTGATGAGTGCAGGCCAACTACTGGTAGAGATGAAGATAGCTCAACAGTTCGAACTGATCACACTGGTCCTAAGAGCTGCAACCTAACTGCTCAGCCACCACAGGGCCTGTGCACAGATGCTTCCCTTAGGCTAACAGAGAACTGCTCAGCCCTCCAGGAGGCAGGCACTTAGCTCTAAAGAGATGGAGCTGGAAGGCCAGAAGTCTCTGGGGATATCTGGAAGCCCCGCATTTCGTATGACCTTGTTTTCTTGTAACAAGACCCTAACATTCACTGGCTCCAACTCTCAATATATAAGAAACCCAACAGGCCATCTCCCTGCCTTGGAGCATTCTTTGCATTCTATCAAACTCCTAGAAATTAAAAAACGGCATCCAGCCTGAGTGAACAGAGCTCAAGCTGGAGCAGCAGGCAGGAGCTCTGGCATTCGGGTGTCAACATTCGGGCCTCCCTAAGGTAATTCCTTATTTAAGAATTTTAGCTCTTTACACAAAACCAGCCATATGGCAGTGACTTTTAAAGAAGGAACTTTCTGCTACTAACTGGTAGATGTTAGTTTTCAGTGCTGTGTCCTTGGAATGCAGCATATACTTTCAAAGGATGCCAGTTTTCTGTAAAGTACAACTTTGTGGTTCTTACTTGGAGCTGCTTTATTTGGCTTCGGAAGGCCGCCTCTGGGACTCTGAACTGTGGTTTTTCTAGAGGAAATCTTCCAGGGCTGACTGTGTTTTGGAGTTCCTTTATGAACAGCTTCTGTGTATATTTTTTCCTTAGAAGCACATATAAAACAATGGAAATGAGAAAAGGTCTAACAACTTTTTTAATACCTAATCTTAAATATCACATCTTGATAAAAACAGCTAACATCCCTAGCAAAATGAGCCTACTTCAAATTTCTAAAATGTGGTTAGTGTTCATCTACACTAAAGTACAGACATTTTTTGGCCTCTGGAATCCCTTGGAATTTGAAAAAGCTTTGGATCTTTTTCCAGTTTCAGTCACCATAGTCCCACACCCTAAACACAAGTACTATTAATGTGATGTGCTTGTTTCCTTGACAACTTTTCTCAAGTAGACTAACAAAATTCTCAAGCAACTACACAATAAGCTTAGATGTTAACTCTTCTGTACTCTGTAACTGGTTTTGCTGATTAATATTTTAGAATAAGCATTTCCCCATGCTTTCCCTTAGTTTCTGTAAGCCATTATTTTAAAAACAATGAAAATTTTTACTTTGGGTTTCTTTTTTTGAGATAGGTTCTCATTATGTAGACCAGGCTGGTCTCGAACTCTCAGTGATCCTCTTGACTCAGCCTCCTGAGTGCTGGGATTACGGGTGTGTGCCACCACACTGGGCTACTTTGGGTTTAATCAGGTATAAAATATTTGGGGTTCTCTGTCTCCTCTTACTCTCTTTTTGTTTTGTTTTGTTTTGTTGTACTGGGGATTGAACCCAGGACCTTTGTAGTGAGCTATATCTCCAGCCCTTTTTGTGAGACAAGGTCCCACTGTGTGTGTGTGTGTGTGTGTGTGTGTGTGGTTCAGGCTTACACTAAACTCAATATGAGTAGTCTCAAAGTTGCAGTGACCCCTTAGTCTCCTCCAGAGTGCTGGAATTACAGGCATGCACCACCACGCCTAGCTTCTCTTACTGCCTTTTACCTTTGTCAGAGAAGGCCATTTTTTTAACCCCCTGGTGAATTGCTAGGGAGTAGAAACCCTGTAATTGATGGAAGCTTTAGGCAGAGGGAAAAACACTAATAGTATTCTTTGGGACCATTTTTTCCGGTATCAGTGACTCAAGTATTCTATGAATAAAAGAAAATTCTAAGCCGGGTGTGGTGGCACACACCTGTAATCCCAGCACTCGAGGCTGAGGCAGGAGGATCCCTGTGAGTTCGAGGGCAGTCTCAACTACACAGTGAGACCCTGTCTCAAAAAAAAAAAAAAAAAAAAAAAAAAAAAAAAAATTCTAAAAAAAAAAAAAAAAAAAAAAAAAAAGAAAAGAAAATTCTACATCATGATATGAAATCTGAACTTTTCCTGAACAACTGATGATTAAAATCCTATTGGTCCCTTTTTCTTTCACAAAGATCCTCCTGATACTTTCTACTGATCTGATCTCATGCATTTATTACAGCGAAGACTTTTACCCACTATTTCCTCCTCCTCATTTATCCCTTGAGGACCAATATTCTCTTGAACTTTATTTCTTCTTAGTTCCCTTTCAAATGCTTCAGTTAATGCCTAGAGAGGAAAATGTCACATTAGTTAGTCATTAAAGACATGTACAAGTGAAAATGAAGGAAAATAATCACCTAGGATCCTGTCACCAAGTATGAAGCTCATTCACTTAAACAAAAATTCATTTCAGCTCTGTATTATAAAGACACAATTTTGACTGTGTAACTGGGATATAAAATGAAATTTTACATTATGTGTTTTTTTGTTGCTGTTGTTCTCAAGGGTTTTGTAATTATTGTGACACTCCCAAGTGGAAATCACATGCCTAGTTACATACTGAGCTAGTAACTGTTCTAAGACATCCTTCTGAAGTAACTTCAGTTTTCACCATTACAAATACTACATTATAAAATCTACAGCAGGGCCGGGGATTTAGCTCAGTGGTTCCACCGCCTGCCTCACAAGTGCAAGGACCCGAGTTCGATCCCCAGTACCAAAAAACAAAAACAAAATCTACAGCAGACAACTTAAGTGTTCTGAATTCATTCAATATTTCAAAATCCCTGTCCCACAGAAGAAAGTTTTTTGTGATAATCACACCAGTCTTCTTAATGAGCCCTTTTCTCATCTCCTATCTCCAGTGGCCCATTACATTCAGTCCATCTTAAATTTTCTTAATCTCTGAAAGTGTCTCTAAAATACCAACCCACCGTGATCTCCTTTTTCTTAATCCACTGGAACACTGAACTATATCTGACCAGGTTATTTTCTTGAGAATTTCATGAGTATAATTTTATGCTCCCTAAATGGGGCATAAACTGTAACACGTATTTGTCATTCACTTAAGCATATTAAATGCATTTTAAGCCTTTCCTCAGCAGCATACTCAATGCAGCATTTGGCTGAGGGGAGGTGGAATTGCCTACTGCCCAATGATAGTCAAGAGATGAGACATACCTTTGCTTGGAACTGGCGGATGTCTCTTTCTTTTTGCTTGCGCTGTCTTTTTCTCTCTATCTGGAACTGTTTGTGTTTGTTAACAGGAGATGGAGACAGAGAATGAGACCTGAAATGTGGCCTTCTGCGCACAGAAAGTCCTACAACACAGAAAAGCCATTTATCGTTAGTTTCTGACAGCCAGAAATGTTAAGTTGGAAATCAAATACTTGGTTCTTACCAGATCCAGACAGAATGATGAATGAACTAAGTGGACTGTTTCCTAACTTGAATTTCAATCATACAGTAAGAGAGAAATGCACATAAATATGCAGTGTGTTAAGTACGTACTTACTGTATGTTCAATTTTGGACTGAATTGAACATGTGGAATGCTTGCTGTACATAGAGTTCCATGAAAAGTACTCTTGCAATAGGGGTGGCAAGCAAGCCAAGGTAAATTCTAGGTCTTGAGGACAGAATGGAACTACATATACATATCTTATAAATACTTATAAGGCATCATGCTGACAAGCAAATTAACTACATTTCCTATGGTTATGCGTTGTCTATGAAGTCTAGACCGTTCCCTTACTGATAAATGTATCAATGCGATACATTGTAAAAACTGTGTTACACCACAGCTAAAATATACACAGCATCTCTGTAAGTTTAAAAATCCTAAAACCATACAGCAGTATGTCTGGATAAGTAATATACAGTATGTTACTAGAATATAAAAACAGTGATACAAGTAAACAATACCAACTTCGGTATTTTTTCTTCCTTCTATGTATTTCTGAAATGTTTGACACAAGTCGTTCATGTGGACATCCCGTCCAGACCTCTTCAGGGGAGGTACCTGCTGGCCTTAGCTTCTTCGGTCCATACTCCACGACACTGTCACTGTGCTGAGAGAGCGCCGCCTCATCGCTGCTGTCCTCTTTCCCTCTGCTATCTTCTCTAAGGTCAGTCTTGTCTTCAGTGTGATGGCCCAGGGCACTTTTTAACATCTATTGAGAAAATTCTTTTCAACATCTTTCATTAATTTCAGCAGAATGTAAATTGGTAGAAAAGAGCAGATTAATGTTTTCCCTAATAGTCACTAGTTTTTAGATGCTTATGCATGTTTGGCCTTTTAACAGGTGGGTATCAGTGCTATGCACTAGTGAGTTCCCTTTATGACTTCCATACGGATTTAATATAGTCATTCAATGTTACTCCATTGTATTTTGGGTGAATCAATGATCAATTTTATACCAGATTTGTCTTAAATGACAAAGGGAAACTATACAAGTACATTTAAATAGTTTCACATAATCATTCGTATTAGATGATTTAGTCTTCATCACAACTGATAAATGGATAAATCTGTGCTATATTTGGTTACGTCCTAAAAGAGATCACGGTTCATGTCCTACCTGCTTCACTTCTGGAACATTTTCATAGTAACTAAGACATAACTCATGTCAGTACCTAGGCTTAGCTTTTACCTTCCATTGGGGAGCCCTGAAATTGCCTGTTAACCACAGTAATCTCAATATATATTAAAAAACAAGACTTGCCCAGTCTAGTTCAGACAGCCGTTGAGACAACTTCTCCGATACCACATGTAGTTCTTGTTCTGTTAACCTCTTTCTTGGCCTCTGGGAGGAAGGTGAATCCCACGATGAGGCTGCAGCTCTGTTTTCCTGTCTGTAATAAAAGTGACCACGTGGCATTTAAGTAGCCAGATACATGTTACAGTAACTGCAATACATACTTTAATAAATACTTCATGCTGGCTTCCACAGCTCAATTTGGGGTATATACTTTAACTTTTCAAATCCCTTTGCAAACAGACCTTAAGCACTAAAGCCTGCAGTAATGTTACCTTTTTCCTTTTGGAAGCTTCCTTGTCCTAGGGCTGAAGACTTGAGCTGGAGACATTTTTTGGTCACTTTCTTTAGGCAGCGTGGAAGTTGAAATAACTGTATCATCTGGTTCCTATTAAAAGAAAAAAGTCAATTTGGAAAGGCTACAAAAAAAGACACATAAGTCCCTTTTGGGGGGACGGAAGAGAGGACCTGTGACAAAAAGGTCCTTCAATTTCCATGTTACAATGCATTTGTCAAAATATACTGACACCCAGATGACTAGAGCAGTCTATCAACTTCTGCTCAGAGAAAAAGTGTGGCTCCAAATGCCATTCTTCTTTGTTTTTGTTGTTATCAGGGATTGAACTCAGGATCTTATGCTTTCGAGGGAGGCGCAGCAATACTGAGCAAAATCCCCAACCCCAGAATGCCATTCTAATATAAAGGCAGATGAGGGATTCTCAAACATAAAATATCAGGTGTTATCACAAGTAGAAAATATTCAAGTTATCTCTTTATAACTTGAGAATTCAGTAGGGACTGTTCAAGTTGAAACCCTTTGAACATGAAACCTCACAAAATATGAATATAAATGCTTAACTTTTTCAGTAATTTATTTCTTAACCTTATGGGGAATCTTTCTGTTTTGTTTTGGTGCTGAGGACTGTACTCAGAGCCTTGATCATGCTAAGCATACTCTCTCACTGAGCTACACTCCCAGACCCGAGGAATCTTTTAGAAAATATTGGTGATTTTTTTTTTTTTTGTACCAGGGATCAAATTCCAGCCCTTGCACTCGCAAGGCAGTGGGCGGAACCATTGAGCCAAATCCCCTGCCTCAGAAAATATTTGTGTGTAAAAGGAAACAAAATATTTCTTGTGTCAAAGAAATATTTATTGTTTAATATCTTCAGTTTCACTTCGTTATTTTCTTCTACTGAAAACTTTGTAGTAAGTAGTAACTATAGTATAACTGCATTAACTTTTAAAATGAAGCGTTAAGTGTCCAGCTCAATTTTTATTTGTTTGTTTTTTAAGACAAGTCTTGCTAAGTAGTCCATGCTGACCCTGAACTCACCATGTAGCCCAGCCTACCTTCAAACTTAGGGCGATTCTCCTGCCTCTCCTTTCAGGTGCTGATATTACAAGCGGGCACCACCCTGCCCAGCTTTGATTAATTATTTCAAGAATGACTATAATCCCAGCACTTGGGAGGCTGAGGCAGGAGGATCGCTGTGAGTTCGAGACCAGCCTGGGCTACCTAGTGAGTTCCAGGTCAGTCTCAACTACATTGTGAAATCCTGTCTCAAAAAAAAAAAAAAAAAATTATTTCAAGACTAATCTTCTCATTCTCTATAACTCAGGTGAATAAACAGAACTCTCACCAGCAATTCAGAAGCTCTTGTGCTACCCCCTCCCAATGCTACCTGCTAAAGGCAGTAATTATCCTATAACTGAATTTTTCCTTTTTATTGATCTATCTGAATAAAAGCACAGAATGTTTAAAATGATAGTCATCTAATGCTGATGATGCTTACTTCATTTTTGTACTTTTTCTTCACTGTATGAATTTTTTTGTTGTTTTACATATATTCTAGACTGACCTCAAAATTCTAACAGTCCTGCTGTAACCAGCCTCCTCCTCCCATCCCTCCTTCTCCCTACTTTTTGTTTTTGTTTTTGTTTTGTTTTGTTTTTTTGGGGGGTTTTTGAGACAGAGTCTCACTATGTAGTTGAGTGTGACCTGGAACTCACTGTGTAGCCCAGACTAGTCTCGAACTCACAGCATCCTCCTGCCTCAGCCTCCCAAGTGCTGGGATGTAATTACAGGAGTGCGCCACCACGCCTGGCTCTGGGAACAGTTTGTTTGAGAAAGTATATGAATAACTAGAACCAGGTGTTCATAAAAAATATTTTCTAATGCTCTGCTAGAGATAATCTGTAAGGAACTGTTTATTCTCATGGAAGTATTGTGCATTTATCTAACAAAAACCAAGGTTGTTGAGAGTTGGCTGCTGTTTGCCTGTGAGAGCTTCAGCCCTCTACTTACTCCTTGGCAAAACCACATTCCTGCTGTCTGGCTGTCCTTCACATTCCCAGCGACAACACTGGATAATGGAATATCAATGGATGTTTATTTTTTCATACATTCTAGTATTTTTAAATTATTTAACTGAAGACACACAAAATTCTGAAGCCAGAATACTTGAATTCAAATCCTGTCTCTTCAATTACTGTGTAACCTTAGACAAGATACTAACCTCTCTATGTGGAAAATATAGTACTTATTCCATAAATGTTTTGAGAAATAAATTATTCAACACTTGTGAGTACCTAGATCTGTGCCTAGCAAAAAATAAACATTCCGTATGGCTGGCTCCCATTTTCTTTCACTGTGGGGAGTTAGTTGGTCCATGTACATAACACATCTTAGTTCCTTTTCATCCCTTTCCCTTTCTTCCCGCTCCCTCCATATCTTGGTCCCTCCCTTCCCTTCCCTTGACATTCACCTTGTCCGTATTTTCCTAGAATACAGAAGAAGAATATGCAAGTGGAAACACGCAGTGGTAAATTTTCGGTACAATGCTATTTCATTTCATAATAGTGAAGTATGCTTGACGGTTATCCTAGCAGAGATCTCTAAATATATGGGCTTCTGGGGTTGCGGGTATAACTCCATAGTAGAGCACATACTTAGCATACACAAAGCCTTGGGTTCAAACTCTGGTACCAGAAATAGCAAGTATATGGGCTTCTACCCAACTGCAAGCATGCATTTGTACTTACCACAGAAAATGCTGTGCGCTCTCCTGCTGAATTCTTGACAGGGGAGAAGTGACTTGATCGTAAGTATTCTCTTCCTATAGGGCAGGGCGCTCGAGGCTCTGAAGGGTGGTAGGGTGGATGTAAAGGAATAGCTGCTCGGATAGGCTCCCCTAGCCTTCTAGCACTTGGAACCACACTCACAGAAGGGATTTCCGCTGGTAAGACAAATTACAGTGAATCTTATGAAATTCTAAGAGATAAATCATTTTGCATATAATATACCTAGACAGTTACTATTCACACACTAAAGCACACAAAAAATACTTAAAACAGGATATAGTCAGCCAAAAAAGTAGGCAACTAATTAAATCTGGATGAACATAATTTTTTTTGAAACAGGCTCTCACTATGAGTTCAGGCTGGCCTTGAACTCACAGTACAGTGATCCTCCTGCCTCAGCTTCCCAAGTGCTGGGATTACAGGTGTGTACTACAGTGCCTGGCAGGATGGATGTAATCTTAATGTTATTATCATCAAATTGTTCCTTTAAAAATAATGAAAACTTAGCTATCCATTAACAATGATTTTAACAATGATAATCCCATATAGAAATTGTAGAGAAAAGCAAGGACCAACAATCTGAGCACAGTAGCACATGCCTGTAATCCCAGCTACTAGTGAGACTGAGGCAAGAGGATCACAAGTTCGAGGCCAGCCTGAACAGTTTTAACAAAACTCTGCCTTAAAATAAAACTTCAGAAGGGTTGGGGATGAGCCTCACATAGTAGTGTGTGCCTATAAACCCAGCACTCTGCAAGGCTAAGGCAAAAGAATTACAAGTTTGAGTCCAGCCTAGGCAATTTAGCAAGACCCAAAAATGTAGTTCAGGGTGAGGGTACTGTGTTCAAGCCCTAGTACCAAGAGTGGCTGGGACTGTAGCTTAGTAATAGAGTGCTTGCCAAGCATGCATAGGCCTTGGGTCAAATCTTCACGTCATCAAAACATTTAAAAAAAGGAATAAAAATATTTTGTCACTTACTATTAAGTTAAAGGCCAGCAACTGATGTAAAGACTCACTGCCTTTAAAAGAATAATCAAGGTCTTTCAGAGAAGACTTAGACAATAAAATAGTGAACACAAAAAATATGTGACCAAAAACCTTCTAAATCAGCATCAGCTCATAATTAAGGGCAGACCTTTACAAATAAGATCCTACTTAAGCCGGGCATCGTGTTACATGCCTATAATCCCAACACTTGGGAGGCTGAGGCAGGAGGATCTCTGTGAGTTTGACACCAGCCTGGGCTGGTGAATTCCAGGGCAGTCTGAATTACATAATGAGACCTTGTCTCAAAAAAAAAAAAATCATACAAAACTAAAACTAAAACAAATGACAAAGTATAGCGCAACAAAAGTAAAAAAGCTAGCAGCAATACCCAATGTCCCAACCCAGCAGTAATCTAAAGAACTAAAAAAACCTGGGCCAGGGATTTAGCTCAGTGGTTCCACTGCCTTCCTTGCAAGCACAAGGTCCCGCCCGAGTTAGGTCCCTGGTACTAGGAAAAAATATGGCAAAAGAACTAATAACTCTTTACAACTCACTGTCTTCAACAAAGGATGCTGCATTCTTGAATAGAAAAAGAGATGAGGGGGGGTTTGACGTGTCTTTACATGGTTTCGAACTTGGTGAGGATAATGCTTTTTTAGGCTGTGTATCAACAGGACTTTGGGCACCTACAAAAGAAGATATTAAAGATAAATTTTTAAGCTGTCAAAATAGTTTACTAAGTATTATACTAAAAGCCAGAACAATGTTAGTCCAACTGCTTTAATACCAATTATTTTTGAATTTTGGGTTTTTTTTTTTTTTTTGGACTGGAGATCAAATTCAGGACCTCATGCTAGCCAGGCAGGTACTGTGAACACCTATTTTTAATAACTTTCAGTGTAAGATACAGTTCTGTAGCCCAGAATCCTTGATACAACTTGAAAACAAAGCTTAAAACTCTGGTTACTCTGATTTAAAAAACAGATGCCTGGGCCAGGGATTTTGCAAGTCCTAAGATCCTGGGGGGTGGGAGTGCCAGAGTTGTAGAAATGCTTAGTATTTTTTTTCTTTTAGAAATGCTTAGTATTATGTGGCCACCTTTGGGTATGAAGAGATAAGAGTTAGGGGCTATGGACAGTACCAAAATCAAAGAGTTACAGTCTAGCAAATGAAGCCTAAACTAGATGCATGTCAATATGTATGACAGTTACCTGATTTCTCATTCTAAATATAAAAGAAAACTTCCAGAAGCCCTTTTATCATATCAAACTCAAACACCATCACCAGGTATCTCTCTCAACCTTTTCTCCTTTGCCCTCATTGCAGTAAAAATTCCTCTCTTTGTAATCTGAAAACAAGTACAGGTTGAGTACCTCTTATCCAAAATGCTTGAGACCAGAAATGTTTTTGGATTGTGGGATACTTGCATATACATAATGAGCTATCATCGGAATGGAATCCAACTCATTTATATTTCATATACACTTACACAACCTCAAAGTAATTTTCTACAATATTTTCAGTGCCTGTCATTTTAACTGTGACCTGTTGTATTGGGTCAGTGTGTGATTTTCCCTTTGTGACGTCAAAAAGTTTTGGATGTTGGAGTAGTTCAGGTTTTTGGATTAGAGATGCTCAACCCAGTTTATTTTTTTCAGTTCATTTTTTTATAGTTTACCATTTTCATGGCACTTGATATCACAGAACTCATTTCTGGAATCACTGTCCCTCCAATCCTATCTAACCACTCAACTAACTACCTTCAAAACTTTTTTTTTTTTTTTTTTTT